CCATTTCTCTGTGTCATCCTTTGTGCAGGGGTTGTGCTTGCTAATCTTCTTCTTTTTTTTTTTTTTTTTTTAATGTGTGTCATCGTTGAGCAGGCGCCATGCTAATCTTTTCTCTGTGTATTGTTTCAATTTTATCGCATGTCCGGAAGGGCAGCCGTGCTAATCTTCGTCCTCTGTATCGTTCCAATTTTTACGGATGGCCCCAAAGGACGGTTGCTTATGCTTCCTACCCTTTCTTGAGGCCAGCGAATGTGGAGCAGCCATCCACGTGTACACAGAGCGTTGCATGTAGATGATGATGCTCTTTTCCAAGCACTTTACGATTGGCTTCTGCGGTCGTTCTGCCGTGCTGATACGCTGACTTGCATGTGTGTACAAGACTCGGCGCTTGAGGCTGAGGGCGCCGGTTTCGAATCCGTGGAGGAGTTTTTGTGGCTGACAAAGTGCATACTGTATGAACTTGTGCAGGAACACTGACAGTGTTCATGGCAAACTCAGGCTGCCAATCTATTATCTATTCTTCGCTCTGGCGGCATGCAATCGGGGCGGATTTAAAAAAAAAAAAAATTTAAATAAAATTTGGACCATCTCTCGATTTATGCATGTCATCCTTGCGCAGGGGTCATTTGCCAATTTACCCTTCTCCGTGTCGTTCCAAAGGGGTCATTTGCTAATTTACCCTTCTCTGTGTCGTTCCAATTTTGACGGATGTCCCGAAGGACGTGGTGGGGATTGTGGCAGTTCGGTAATTAAACGCTCTTTACAGAAAGTTGTGGAATGTTTTTCAAATGGTTGCGGAATTTCCCAAAAAAAAAAAAAAAAAAAAAAAGGTTGCAGAACTGCAATGCTCTGCGAGCGGCAAATGCGTCAGGACTCAGGACTCAGGACACACTGAAGCAGCAGCGACTGGATAGAAATCATGAACCTGGTCCTAAAAAGATAGATGATACCAATGGGCCCAGCTCAGTTGGTGCACCCATGAACTGTATTTTACTATTTTCCATGCTTGCCAACTCTGACGAAACAGTTTGTCACAGCCCCTTGTTTGTTGTCCTCTTCTCTCTCTCTGCCTACGGTTTACCGCGCAGTTCTGTTTGTGACGATATATATATCTATTTGACGATATATAACTCCGACGAAACAGTTTGTCACAGCCCCTCGTTTGTTGTCCTCTTCTCTCTCTGTGCCTACGGTTTACCGGGCAGTTCTGTTTGTGACGATATATATATGACGATATATATATATATGACGATATATATATATTTCCCCCCAGAATGTTAAAGGGCTGTGTCCCATGTTAAAAAAAAAAGGAAAAAAGAAAGAAAAAAACAGAAAAAAAAAAGAAACGAAAAGAAATACAGAGCCCATCTTTCAAATTTGAATCCTGTTGAAATACAAGCAGCGATTGTATTAGTTAAAAAAAAAAAAAAAAAAAAAAAAACAGTCCAATTGGTACAGTTACAAAACTGTGGAAAAATGCAGACCTGAGTTTGAATTCCGACGGAATGCGATGTTATCGAGTGAAAAGAACTGTGAATGTACTTGGGGATGGTCAGTCCAAAGAAGATATCATAAGGCTGCCACCCTTTACAAACAAGCCCACCAACACCTGCCATCGTCCCTGGTGGTCCGCAATTGGTGGAAACGGGACTCCCCGGTACCAGCAGAAGACCTCTCGGAGTTTCCGTGGTCCACTTATGCGCACATAATGCCAACCTCACATCGGGTCCTCCAGTGGCAAATCGTGCACCGGTGTCTTCCGACCCCGGACTGGATAACTTCCAGGTCCAGTCTTGAGCAAGCGGGAATCCTGTCACCAATCTGTTCCTACTGTGGTCACTCAACGCCTCGTCGAAAAGCCGACCTTGAGCACTGTCTGCTAGCATGTCCGATGGCCATCCAGGTATGGAGATGGTGGGACGCGCTCTGGTTCAAGCTCACAAACTCTCCCTTCCACTGGGACGTGGGGTCCATCTTACTGGGTAACTACAAAAAACACACATGCGGTCTTGGTCGTGCTTCCAACACAACCTTTTTAAGCACACCCGCATAGCCATCCTCATGGCAATATGGAGAATGAGGTGCTCGTTCGAATACAAAGAACACACTTTTGGACTGATCCAAGCCAAGGAGGAGATCCTGGAAGTGATGAGAGTAAACATAACTAAGGCTAGCCAAAAGCTTAAAGCGGACCTGGCCACGACTCCAGACCAACTGCAGAAAGAACAAATCACTGAAGCCTTCAAAGAAATATGGCTGGACCCTAACCGCAAGATGGCAGACCTGAAGGAAAACGGGGTCCTAGTATGGAAGAACTGGGCAGCCCGAGAAAAACAGTGGGGGCTCCGGCCTCTTCATAACTTTTTTACGCCTGTCCCGGGCCAGACCAAGGGAGCATTAGAGGAAGACAGATCGGCACCATCACAACACCCTTTCCCTACAATCCACCCTACTCCCCCACCCCTCCAGTCGCCCCCCCTTTCTCCCCCCCC